TCTCAAACATTAACGAGTCGACTTCAAGTACGGACTTCGCATATTTTCTCAGATGGTGATCACCAAATTGCATGATCACACGAAGTCGTTGGTCACTAATTGGCTAAAGTTCGCGTTTTATTTTCATGAACCAGTGCTCCCTGATAGATTGTTTCTGTTTGCAGAATGATGCATAATGCGATATCAGCGTGTTGCATATCATGATTGAAAACTGTGGAAATATCGTATAGCTGTTTCATCTTTGTGAATAATTTTCACTGGGTCAGATCTTGGTTTTCAGTGCCACACACTGGCATCAAACTACCCCGGGATGGCTTAGGTGACTGCCTTCCCTAGATGTGCGTGTGCATGCCGTGTGGTTCAACATGACCAGCTCGGTCTCAATTAACTGTGCTTCCATCTGGGAGTCAACTTCAATCTAAATGACGATAGGTCACCTTCACTGACAGAAACAAATGAACGATACTAAATGCTAACAAATCCTTAGAGATGCAGAGTGATTCTATGACTTTCTAGTCATACGCGTGACATGTGCTGCCAGTGCACAGTGAACCGCTTCCCAGTCATTCAACCTCGTCTCATTCAAATATAAATACTGTACCCGTTCGATTGGACAAAACCAACAGAAAATTCAGAGGACCCTATTAAGCCGTTTCCAATAATAATAAAATTATAATAAAATAATAAATTCTGAAGTTCAATCACCATGAAAGTATTCAAGAAAGTAACGCGAGGTAGCGGTTTGCACATCATGTTAAATTAATTTATTTACGTTTGCTCTTAGAAAACCGGTTGTAATGTGATTTTTCCTATTATTAAACTACTTGGCAGAATGAATTTGTGCATTTGAGCTGTTTGCAAATAATTTGCAGCTTTACTTGCATCCGGAAAGTGGGTAGTGTTAATCTGAAGTCATATTTCCTGTCTTTTAATTAAGCATTTCTACTTAAAATAAGTGTTTTCAGTGGTGATTGACAGGAAAGGAAGTGATATACCATCGAAATTCACGTACAACTTATGAGATCGGTCAGATTATTTTCCAGGAAAAATTTTCGAACCTCTTAGAGTAGAATACCATACTGAAGTGTTTATACGACCTAGTCAAATCCATAGAATCCTACCCTCTGAAGGTCCTAACACAAACCTCAAACTAGTCTACCTGTTAACGAAAAACTGTTTCAAACAGCTTAAACTAGTTCTGATACGTAACACGTCCTGATTGTCTTTTAATTGTCATGATACCAAAGTCGGTCTTCTTCGTTATCAAACCGATTTCTCTTTGTCGGAATAAAATAATCGTATTTAATGAAATATTTACCGAGCTCATTATCCGCAGGCGTGAAAAACGTGGTGTAAAGGTTTTCCTCTTTTAAAAGTATACAGAAAAGCTTACAATTTGCCGTTTTCTCTCTCGAATGTTGAATCACTGAGTCGGGAGTTTTATCATAATTCGTGATCGATTCTTGAGTGCACCAATCAATCAATTTTTATGAATGAAATATGCTATTATTTGCTGAAATATACATGTGAGTATAGCGCGAATGCTCGTGGAAACGTCTACTGAAAATGACTCATCTGAAATCCGAAAGGTAACCTTTGATAGATTGCGTGTGAGGAAGCTCTCTGCGCCAAAACATTGATAGTCCATAATTGTACAATTCTAGAAAATTGCTGAGTTACGGATAAATATTTTCTCCCCCGAAACTCTGGATCTTCCTTGGATACCAATTACTCAATGTGTTTTTTGTTCTCTCCGGTTTTGTGGATAGTTAGACAGAACAGATTGCGAGAAACCACTTGTTGTTACATCACAAGTAGTCTGAATTTGATTTGCCATCAGACGAACAGCTTTCAGGTATTGGAAAATCCTATCGTGTGCAGCCTTACATTAATCTGGCAGGTTTTTTTTATGACAACACGTCTAAGGTAGATGAACTCACGTAGTGTTTGACATATGTGTACGTTTAGAATTGGCAGAGAATTGTCATTTGAATTGCATTATTCCTTAACCTCCGTAGTCATGTGCTTTCTGTTTGATCGTTGTTCATATTGAATTTTCATCTCCAATTCTGATGGTCTTTTAGCATTATTAGTGTTGTTATTATTTACGAGGTGTTAAAGATGAATTTTCTTTGACTGAATTGTAATGGCAAGCAGAAATGAGAAAAGCATTTCAAATGCAAGATCTTTTCACTTCTTTTCACGCGAAAACCGGATGCAGAAAATAACCTGTAGTTATAGATATTTTGGTTTTCATATAGTCCAATCGGGGAATTTGGTGTTAGCATCAGCGGTTGTGAAACAGCAAGCGTTTCGGGGCTCGGTCCTAAAATTTAACAAAAACACGACCGAAATCGAAGATCATCGGAAAGAGTGATTAAAAGGGCTCAGTGTAAATAGCTCGAACGACTTAAATACAATGAGAATGTTGTCCGAGTCCTCACAGGTAGAAAGTAATCATAGGACCGATCCACTAACTCGTTGAAAAAGTTGAACAATAGCAGAGTTTTATTTTTACTTGCCTTTGATACCTGGTTTAGAACTATCCTCTACTGCAAGACGTATGTTTGTTTTAACAAACTTTACGAGAAAGCTATCTAGGTTGATAAACTCATCATAGTTGGAAATCGTTCAGTTTCCACAAGAATAGATATGAATGGATGTCTGATGGTTACACAATTAATTGGAAAGGAATTGAAGCCTGGTTTATCATTTTAAAGAAAAACCGACAAAGAAACCGTGATACCGTTGAAGATTTTTTAGAAATCAATCACAGAAACACCGATGGATGATTCAAATTTTTTTGGATTTCAGACATTGTGACTTCAAGCATTTGTAAAACGATCACCTCAGATGCTCCTGAATGGTGACATTTCACTGCCTGTGATGACCTCAAGTCATTTGACCACACAGAAGTTAGCAATCTATGTCCTTCATATGTAAATGTTACTTGGTGGGGCCATTAAACGGAACAGACTTGTTTTGAATTGATCCGGGCCTTATCTGCCCACCAATGGGCGCCTTTGTTCTAACCACTGAATACATCTAAGGCTTGATTGTCTCACCTCTATCTATAAAATGAGTATGATAATGGATAATGCGAATTTGAATGCACCGTGCTTACCGATGATGATCCTGGTGATACTTCTTATACGAAATAGCCAAGGGTACCATCATTGGAAGGTTACAAAATAACGAGAGAATCCGATTGGCTGTTCCGTATTTGTGTCCAAAAGCCAAATTGTGTCCAACTTCGTGAATTGCACAGCCCAAGGAGTGATTGATTGTGCCGCTCACAAAGTAGGTCAACAGTAGCCAAGTGAACCAACCGGGCTGATAGATTGAAACCAGTGTGGCCATAATCAATTGAATAACGACTTCAATTGTGATGAAACAGGCCACACGGGGATCGGAACCCATGAGGGATTTGATTTCCGGATGTTTCGATAAGATCTCCTAAGCGATCGACAAATTAGTGGATCAACAAGTGTGAGTGAGAAGGGAGGGAAATGAAGGAACCAGTATTACTTTGCAAACATGTCAAGTTGAAAAATCACACGTAAAGCCTACATTTTGGTAAATAAAAATAAAACTCCACTATGCGTGGTAAAAATGCTGTCCTGCTGTTATTTGCACAACACAATTCTGATTGATTATTAGTTAACTTTTTGCGTAAATTGAAAACATGTATTGCTTCGCGTTAATCAGATCACTCACTTCACGTTCTGAGTTAATTTGTAAGCTCTGACATTTATTCCTAGCTTTTCGTATTAGGAACTAGTAGGTCCTTTCCTCAGCAGGTCAGAACTTCATGTGTGAAGCTAAACTGAAATATAACAGCTACCTGATAATTTCACCTTTTGAGATCAGATATCAGGACAAACAAATTGAGACAGTGATCCTCTGGGTGATCCCTTTGGCTATTTGTCAATTCATTTATTGATAATCTGCTTTGTCCCTTGTTTCACTCTGTCACCAATCACCAAAAACCATTATGATCAAGAAAATTAAATGAATCTATATTCATAAACTAATTGTCTCTTCTCAGTAACAGAACAGTAACAGTAACAGAACCCAAGGGTTTCAAAATACTCATTTTTCTGTCACTGAAAAACCGAGAGCAAATGCTTCAATCCATTAAAGTGGAAGGAGAGATAAGCCTCCGGTCCGAATGCTCGAACAAAGCATGTGGTTGGTTCGAACAATCTGTTACTCCGGACGAGCATTGTGTTTATACTCCCCGATAATAGAACTCGATTGTATTCGTAAATTTAGTTCAATCTGTTCTACGAATTCCAAATGCCGGTGAGGAAGCACCTGTCTGCTGGAGGAACGAAGCAATCGGACCACTAAATGTATCCCTAACTAAGTAAATTATTATGTGATAACGTCTGAGTCAGTTCCAAACGGCAATGATAGAAATAAAGTCCATAAAACCAGTATATCCCTGATTGTGACAAGGAATTACTGGAGAAAAAGAAATTCACGCTGATTTATCCCATCCCCGTTAATGGTTTGACTTTATTGATATATTGACATCTACAAGCTCTACTTCAAGAGTAAACATTTTCCGGATATAGAGACGCCATTAGAGATGCAGGAAAATTGTTTCGGATAGAAATGATGTATCAACGCTAAATTGGCTATTCATTTTTACATGCGTACGCATGTATATAACAGTAGGACGAATGCAGCGAAAAAGTGATTAGCTGTTCCCAAGTGACTCATCTCATCCTTCGATTTTGTTTTATGTCCAAATTAGGGGTTAGTTTTATATCAACCCTCATTCAGTGCTTAGCAATAGTGCATGTAGTACGACAGTAGTTGAGGCACACCCAAAGCCAGATGAGGGGGAGGGGTTATGCTGAAAACACAAGCCAAATGTATCTGTCCAGTATCTAGCTCCGAAACAAATGAGGTTGAATGAACTGAGGCTGTGAGCTTCATTCAATTACTTCCTCAATGGAGCACAGAATAGCACGACGAGCGTTAAGACATTTGACTGTTACAAACTAACACACAAGAGTATTCCATTCCTAACTGTTGTTTCAGTGAAACATCTTCCAACCCAAGTGTCGCTTTCGCAGTTGCTTGTCATGATATCATCGATTCTGATTTGTTCACCGTTATCCACTGGTTGCTTCCCAGAATGTGTGGGGAGAAACACATGAGGAAAATTTTAACGCCTAAACTCCTCAGAAGTATATTTTTCTTCAAGTTATTTAGGCTTGCGAGTGGTGGTGGCCCGGTGGTAACGTCACCGAATTACCATTCCGGGGGACGTGTCTTGGAATCCTACCACCACCGCCTAACTTTCCTCATTTGTGTGTTGTACCGCAACCCATTGATTGACCGCTTCCCCTTCCTAACAATTTTATCACTAGGTATTCAATAAAAGGAAGTAAAAATGAAAAATGAAAAAAATCCAGCAATCACCAGAGACAAGATTTTTTAAATAATAAAGGTTTTCGGTTATATGCGGTTAGCATAAAACATGCGATCTTCATGTACTTGGCATTGACATTTTCATCACTATCCCCGTCCATATAATCATGTTCACTACCGAGTCATTATCATCGTCATCGTCTTCGAAATTGCTCATATTCAAATTATCATGAACGCGTCAATAATTTTCATCAATGTAACTATGGTTACTCTGACTTCTTAATATAGAATCACCGAAAGATCGGCCCTAGTTTCGAGTTTCGCCCAAATTGACCTGTCTCAAAATAGACCCCAAGATTTCAATGAAGATATTGTGACACAACGGCCATTCATTATAGTTTTTCTAAGAAAAATAAAAAGTCATGTCCGTTGTTAATGATCACCCCTTAAAGTTTTCTTCGATGTTTTATTTTTTGCCTAAAATCACGCGGCTGTTTATCAGAGGAATAGTGCGTGCAAATCAGCTCGACACAATCAATTGGTGGCAATCTGGTTGAGAGGACTAAACAAGTTTTTCGTAAGAACTGGTTGCTCATCCGTGAGTATCGTGCACCGTTCGCATCCTGATTGGTATTGATTTGTACCTAAGTGTTTCCTAATGACAAGCATTCAATGAATAAACTTTTTATTCACTTGAGTCTACATTGCAGCTTTATTACCTGATGCGAGATAATGACTGGTTACGGGCTATTAAAAAATAACCAAATATCAAGTTTCTGTAGAAGTTAGAAATTCTGTGTGCAGCGGTAGATAAAAATCAAATACTTTGAGACTTGCTTTTTAGTAGATGCCGGATTCAATATTGAAGATCTTAAAAAGTCGGGATTTTCTCCCGACTCGTAAAAATCACTTTCGTTGTTCAGGGAAATATTCTGTGTCTAGTTTTATACTACTGTTCGGGAGCAGCTAACCTTAGGACTAGGCAAGCATCTTGTTCAACCTCAGCCTGATTTCATCACAATTATTATGTAAGACATTTCGTATCTTTGAGTGAAAAGCTAGGAAGCCCTGTACAGCCACTTCAACCCTGATCAATCTCGTCAACAGTTTGCCAATACATCAATCAACTGGGGATCGAACCCGGGATCTTAAATGATGAACCCAAGTTTACAACCCACTTTTTCAGTTTACGATTCATTTACTCCGTGCACGACGAAGTTCACCATTCAGATGAATAAAATCCTTCACCGCTCTAATGTTTCATGCAATTGTCAATTCTGAATCGAAATCGGTAAACACCTATCTCCATCCCGTTTTTCTTTCTACAGAGAACTTTCAACGATACAATTTTCATTCACACGGAAGTCACCATGTATTTGCTTTAAATTTGATGGGAGTCATCCACAGTACACATTTGGGGAGTCCAAATTGGATCACATTCGACGAGTGCATACTTTTGAAAATCATAGACCATATGCAGGAGACGACCGTTTATTCACGGAGGCTACGAATGCGTGTATCGAAAGGATGCTTCGGACATAGTGCAATTGAACCATTTTTTCGAGTCAATCGAATCAGTCAGTAACCACAGCGTGACGTTGTCTTTAGCCCTGCAATGGCTAATGGAAGTCATTAAAAATGGTGGGCACCTTTTAAACCCTACAGTGAATGCTAATCCGCTTTTGCGTGCAACAAAAGCAACTATCAACGGATGTGAACCCTCATACTTTTGATGTTATGTGAAATTCGGAACACAAATTAGACAACGGCAAACTCCTGAAGTTTTCAACTGTCGCGTTCGTTTTAAATGAAAAATTCCCTAGGCGGTTCGCATACAGTTGTTACAGTAACAATTCGGCTCCATTAGGGATCGTTTGACTGTCACAGCGCACTCAAAGTCAAAGTTTTATTATGGTAAATACTTACAAGCGGTTGCTCTTCTAGTCCCATAGGGTTTAGCACAAATGAATGTCACAATTTGTCCTTGTTTCGTGCACTTCTACGGATGTTGAAATTAAAGACTTTTCAGAGCTTCATCCAGTTTAGGGGGGATGAATCGATTGTGGGCGCAGAAACAACTTGTTTTGGTAGATAATTCCAAGTAATGCACACTCTGAGGGTTAATGAATGACGCCGGCATTCTAGTCGGACTAGTTTGCATGAGTGACCCTCTCAGGTGAGTTTTGGGAGACAAGGCAAAGAATGAACGACATGGGTGATCTGGATCCTGCAATATTTGATACACCAAGATCAAGTTCCCTCGAATACGGCGATACCATGTGGATTACAGTTGCAGTGATTCCAGTCTTTCCGCATAACTCTTGGAATGCAGTCCCTTGACTATTTTGGTGGCCATTCTTTGTGGACGTTCCAGAGTCCCCCTATCGTGTTGCAGCCATGGATTCCATGCTTGAATGGTGTACTCTATGTGGGGTCGAATATAGGCTGATAGCAATCGTGGGAACAGCGTAGGTTCAAATTTGCCACATAATTGTGTTAGCAAACCAACATGTCTTACAGCGGTGGACGACTCCCGGGAGCAGTTTAAAGAACAGCTTAGGTAGTTATGAACAACGAAGCTGAGATCCTTCTCAGTTGATCTCCAAGGAAATACGGAAGCCGAGTTTTGTGTCGAAGGGATACGACTATACATTTTGATGCATTAAGTTCCATGTCGCTTTCGATCGACCACTGATAGGCAGCATGTTTTTTAAAGTTCTGGCGAGTTCTCCGGTTTTGTCCCCGTTTTCCAATTTTTGCATCGTCTGTAAACAATAATGTTATAGCCCCAGAATGTCTGTTTGTAAAAACCAGGAAAAGTTGAGGGCCCAACACGGATCCCTATGAAACTCCTCGTGCTAT